GACTTCGTAAACATTCAGCATTAATATCGAGTTTGGATGATTTAGCGGTCTATAGAATTAATACTGTGAGTATCGCTGAAAGAGTGAGATATGACCATTCAATCTGCAACTAACCTAGCTCTGATGATAACTTGTCATTGGTCCAGGTCCAGATAGTTGAGCGTTTCAACTTTCTTTGCACCGTTTGGTGAAAGGTTAGAAATGAAGCATATTCACGTGCTAAGAACCTGGCTTAGCCTCGCCGCTATGATCGCTTGGCAGTGTTAATTGCAACAAAGTTGTAGTGTTTGCATTCAGACGCCCCTTATCATTCCTTGTCATTTGTTACCGTTCATACCGATAGCACCGTTGTCCCCGTCCAACCCCCTATGAAACATGTAGAAGCGAAGGTTTTACTGTCACCACGAAGACTACAACGAATTTGATAGTACTCAAATTCTGGACTTCGTTATCAGCCGTTATCGATTGTTATCACTTTTGATCACTCACCATTCGTGTTCCCGTAAGATTCTCCGTACCACATGTAAGAGCCAAGGTTCTAATGTCACTGCGAAGGCCGCGACGAAATTGGTGGTATCCACACTCTGACGCCCCTTATCAGTTCTTATCACTTGCCACCACTTTCTTTCACCCACCCTCATGGTCCCCGCCTCATCCCACATAATATGAATGGGTTCAAACATGTTACTGCCAATGCGAGGAGAGCAACAAAACTGGTGGCCTTTGCATTCCGGCGCACGTTGTCATCTCTGCTATCACCATTCTTCGCTCTCTATTCGGGTCCCCGTCACACAGCACATTACACTTATGAGTGGAAACTCTCCACTGTCAACGCGAACGGCGTAACGAAATTGGTGACATCAATTTCCGACGTCCGTTATCAGCTCCTATCAGTAGTTATCACTTCCCGCCACCCGTCATCAGTGTTCACGTCCAGGCCCCTATATATCCTAGAAGTTTGAGCGCTCTGGGTCCAAAGGGAGTGAAGTTATGAATTTCCGGTCAGACACACACACACACAACCGCTTAGCCGATTATATATAGTAGGATGATGAGCATTAACTCCTCACTTGCGTGAATAGGCGTATTTCATTTTCTTTCTGAGACTGACAAAAAGAAAAACCTCTTCTTCGCTAAATTGTCTCATTTTGAGAAGAATACTGGATATACCAGTATACTATTCGATGACCGTTGGACCAGAGCGGTTACCGACTGGATCCCTCGGGACGTCAAACGAAT